AATTGGTCCAGCATTGAGGCCAGGATGACAAATTCAGTGGCAAAAGGGAAATCTGTTACCTTGGCACTATCTGGTAAACTCAATTGCATCCATGTTTGTCTCCAAAAAAAGGCAATTATCCAAAGAGTTTTCATGTGCTGGCTTGGCACTGCAGGGCCTCACTACTGAATTTGTTATCCAGCACCTCTTCCCACATTTTTATGAGGAGAAAACCTGGGCATTGTGGTCAGCACTGCTAATTAACATGGACATCTGTTTAATTAAACCCCTCCAGTCCCAGGGCAAGTCCTCTGGAAAAGCAGAGGTGTTTGCTGGGGCTGAAGGAACTCAGCACATTTTTGGAGGGCCTCAGCAGGATTTAGAAGAGCACAAGAGGGATCTTGTATCTCTGGTTTTGTGTAAAAGTTGTGGATCTCCTGGTGCCAGGCACTTCCTACAAATGAAGAGTTAAATTTAAAACTACTGAGAAGCTCATGACAATTTCTTCAACCTGTATTGTGGGAATCAGAAAAACAGAAATTTCCACAGACACTGAAGGGTTTGAGCTGCAGCCTTGGAAGAAGCTTGGATTGATGTAAAAATACAATACACAGATATTAGGCAGAAAAATCATAAACTTATGGTTCTATAGTTGTAAGAATATGCTTTAAGTAAGTGAGCAGCTGCACTGCTGAGATGGTGAAGGGTTTGTAGTGTGGGGCTGGGGTTGTGTGGAGCGAGCTGAGAGTTCAGCATTATAACAGAAGCATTTCTGTGCATGTGAGACAGAAGCCATTGGACAAAAGTACCCACAGTGCAGCAGAAGTGAGTAAAGGTGATGGGTTAGAAAAGCAAAATAAACCCTGTGGCAGCTGTCATTGGGTTAGAAAGTTCTGAATTGCTTTGGAGCAAAGAACTTGTGACTGCTCTTGAGCTATGGCTGAATGCTTGCTCCTCTAAAACATCACAGCCCCTGAGACTGATGTTTGTCTGAGCTATAAATAATGTTTAGTTTGAAAATAGTTCCCTCCCTTTGTGATTAGCAGTGATGATGACACTGTACAAAATCCCATCCTCTGAAGGCTCTGTGGGAAGGTGAACAAATGCAAGGTGAGGCAGACGGCAGGACTGGCAGAGCACTCCTGATGTACCCTGCCCAACCTCAGCCCTGCAGGGCTCTCCACCCGTCCCTGATTCTGGGCAGGACCAGGAGCTCTCCCTGACTCCTGCTCTGTCAGACATCCCCTGATCCCTCTCAGGTTCTGCTGCCTGTGGCCATCCAGAGCCACAAAACCTTCCTGGCTGTTCAGGGCAAAGTGTCACAAAGGCAAAGCAAAAGAGCTTGTCCTGACTTAATTCATTTCAGTGCTTGTTTTTCCTTGGGTCACTCAAAAATGCTGCTGCTGAGTGGCTTCACACATTCAATTAGAGGTTCAGGGAGCATCAATTCAATCCCTCCACCTCCATCATAATCATGCTGGAGGAAATTAAAAATATTGCCTTTATAGAGCGGCTGAAGGACATGTGAGCAAGTCTGAGACTTTATCTCTGGTTTAACTGCAGAGTTTTCGGTCAGGGCATCTCTGTTTCAATAAGATCTGCCAGGAAATCCTGTGAGGGAGTCCCTGGCCGTGTTTGTGGCTAGACAGGATGAAATTAATGAATTAATGAATTTAATAACTGCAGAACTGGAACAGTCTCAGCACACAGCTGGGAGCCAGGTGGCCCTGAGGTCCTGAGGCCACAGGTGTGTCCCCAGTGCCACAGGTGTGTCCTCAAGGGCACAGGTGTGTCCCTAATGCCACAGGTGTGTCCCCAGTGCCACAGGTGTGTCCCCATGGCTACAGATGTGTTCCCAGGGTCACAGGTGTGTCCCCAATGCCACAGGTGTGTCCCTAAGGGCACAGGAGTGTTTCCTAATGCCACAGATGTGTCCCCAGTGCCACAGGTCTGTCCCCAATGCCACAGGTTTGTCCCTGAGGCTACAGGTCTGTCCCCAAGGGCACAGGTGTGTCCCCAATGCCACAGGTGGGTCCCCAAGGCACAGGTGTGTCCCCAGCACCACAGGTGTGTCCCCAATGCCACAGGTATGTCCCCAGTGCCACAGGTGTGCCCCCAATGCCAAAGGTGTGTCCCCAGGGCCACAGGTGTGTCCCCAATGCCACAGGGGTGTCCCTGAGGCCACAGGTCTGTCCCCAAGGGCACAGGTGTGTCCCCATGGGCACAGACATGTCCCCAAGGCCACAGGTGTGTCCCTGAGGCCACAGGCATGTCCCAAATGCCCCAGGTGTGTCCCCAATGCCCCAGGTGTGTCCCCAATGCCACAGGTGTGTCCCTGAGGCCACAGGCGTGTCCCCAAGGCCACAGGTGTGTCCCCAGGGCACAGGTGTGTTCCCAGTGCCACAGGTGTGTCCCCAGGCAGCTGTGGGGCACACACAGCCCCAGTTCCCAGGGGATGAGCAGTGCCTGGCAGGGCTGCAGCCCGGGGTGCCCCTTCCTGCCGGGCACAGCTCCTCTCCCGGGCACAAAGGCTGCTGGCACCGGCCCGGGGGAGCTGCTGTGCCAAGCTGCTCCCTGGAGCTTCCTCCCACACAGGACAGGCAGCTCCACTCCAGCTCCTTCCAAGGGGTTCACTCTGTTATTCAAAATGTTGTGGCTAAAGATCATCCAGGAATTCAGCCATGAATGCCCAAAGCAGGTTTTATGTGTGTGTGTGCATGCAAATGTACACACAAAAATATGTGTGCATTTATTGGGATGAAAAATTCCCTTCATTTCCCACTTTGTGATATACAGAAATGGTATTTTAAAGGATAAATAGTGAACAAAGGGATCCTTGACATAAACATTCCTCAGCCAAAAGAGGAAGTTTACTTGGATAGGAATATTTATAGGAGTGAGAGCTTGAGCAACAAGTCCAAACATTGTAACATAAAACTATCATCAGTATTTAAATAAAAAGTAGCATGATACAGTAGAAAAGCTAAAAGTAGCATGATATAGTTCCTATTTGTAAAATACATCTAAGAAATGAGTAAATATTAATTTGTATCATCAGAATGGCTTCCCTATGAATGAAAATATTCATTAAGGTAGCCCATAATGAACATTTTGAGTTTCCTCTACACTGTAAAATTGTTAATTTTGGAAAATTTTTACATGAAGTCTGTTGGAAAGCTGTCACTTTCTCGTGCAGTTCAATGCACACATATTTAGTTGTTGCACAACTTTTATTTCCCTTCAGTCCTTAAAAACCCCCAAGTGTGCAATGCCTGGTGGAGGCACCTCCACGAGAGGGATTGCTGCACACGGGCAGATTAAAAACCAATTTAACTGATGGCCACAAACAGAGCTCAGAGTTTGTCATGGCCACAAAGATTTTCTGTCAGGGCATAAAAGCAATGAATCAGTATGCAGAAGGTATTGCCTGCCCCATAGAGATGCTAATTCTGTGGCACTTTGGAAACTCATGTTCTACATTTACTGTTCACACCCCATGGAAGCTAACCAGCCTAAGCCCGAGCTAATGAAATCAAAAGGCTGCAAAATGTCACATTTTCTCAAAATGTCACATTTTCTCATCCCCCTGCAGCCTAATTTTGGGATCTTTAGGCCCCTTCTATGAGTTGTTTGACAACCGTGGTGCTGCCTGGCTGTCATGAGGCACAATTGTCCCAGAGCTGGAGAGTTACGCTCACACAGAGCTGCTGCGGCCACTTTATCCGCACAAAATAAAGGGCCCATCAGCCTCCTGCTCCATAAAATGACAGAAAACCCCAAGAATAAATCAAAGAAAGTATAGAACAGCAGAACAAAGCTCAAAAGTTTCAGCAAGTTAGCACTGGGGACTTATATTTTGTGGTCCTTTGTTTTTTTATGGGGTTTTTGTTTTGTTTTGTTTTGTTTTGTTTTCTAAAGTGCTATAAAAATATCTATATGAGCAGTTTACACATTGCAGGCATATTTAGACAGAATATTTTATACCTAGCAGATACTGCTATATATAGCAGTCGAAATTTGAAAGCTCAGGTATTTTCTAAGTCAGGACCTAATCTACAAATATATAAAACAGATGTTATATATAAAATGTATAACCTATATAAAGCATAGAAATACCTGTTATATACAATAGGTATAAAATACACCAAATATAAGATAATACATAAGTAATATAAATATATAGGAAGGATATAAACACATTCATATCTAATATATAATGTATGTAGAATATAGAAATATAATCATATATAATATTTATAATATGAAATGGTAGATAGATATAGATATAGATTATATAGATAGTATAGATATAGATATAGATATAGATATGGATATAGATATGGATATAGATATCGATATAGATATATAGATATAGATATAGATATATAGATATAGATATAGGAATGGATATGGATATAGATAGATATATAGATTTATAGATAGATATCTATATAGATATAAAAATAAATAGATATATACAGACATATCGATATATAGATATATAGATGATACACAGATATATAGATATATAGAAACATAGATATATAGATACAGATATAAAACAGATATGAAATATATAAAACCATATATATACATGGGTTTATATATTTTATATAAATATAAATATAAATAGACATAAAATATATAAAACCATATATTTATATGCTTTATATATATATTAAAAAACATATATATATACATATATATACACATATATATACACATACATATATACATATATATACATATATACATATATATATATATATATATATATATATATATATATATATATATAAAACTTTTTTTTATTATTTATAAAAATAAATAAAAAGCCACTCTCCAACCCAGCAATCCCAGCAATTCATAACCACAAACCCTCCTGGCAGTGCGCGGGAATCAGAGCAACCCTCGCCATGAATTCCCCTGCGCTCGGGGCAGCGCAGCACCGCTCCCCCCATCCCTTTCCCCATCCCCTGGCCGCAGAGAGCCCCGCGGAGGCTCCGCGGGCGCGGACTCACCGAGCGCAGCGTCGCAGAGCAGCTGCTGCGGGTGCGCGGGCGCGCAGCTACAGGCGGGCACGGGCGCGGGCAGCGCGCACAGCGCGCACAGCGCCAGCGCCAGCGCTGCCCCCCGGGCCCCGGCGCTGCTCCCGGGGCTGCTCCCGGGGCTCCCGCTGCCCGCTCGCCTCATGCTCCGCTCACGGGAAACGCTCCGCCGCGCTGGGATGCGCTGGGATGCGCTGGGATGCGCTGGGACGCTCCGCTCCGGATGCCCGGGACACCAAACGCTGCTCGCTCCGAGCGCTGCCGGTGCTCGCTGCCTCCAAATCACCCGGACATGGGACTCTCTTATTTATGGCCCCGGCCCCGAGCCCCGGCTCCGCCTTCCCGCGCTTCAAAGCTCGTTTATTGGTGACATCGACCCAAAGAAGCTCGGAAAGTGGAAATGGGAATGGCCAAAAAGCTCCCACAAAACCGGCTTTTACGCGGATCTGAAGCTGATTTTTCGGAGGGTTTTATCTCCTCCGAGTGAGTTTGAGTCCAGTTTGGATTTAAAAGGCAGCCCTGCGATCTTATTTCGGGCGAGTGAACAGAGCTGTCCTGTTCTGAGCTCTCGATCTTCCCCTGCGCTTTGCTGAGCTGCCGTCCCCGTTCGCAGGCGGGACAGAACTTCATTCATGGACAGGAAACCTCTCAATGCTCCGCTTGTGAGCCTCCAGCATCGCTGGGTACAGGGAACAACCAATTACAGATCAAAGCCACAATAAAAGGCATTTTAAACAAATTTATTTCATGGCAGGTTTCATTTAGAACAGCAAGGAAAAGCATCCCAGTGGTTTTGGAGGCGCAGCCCTTTCCCTGCATTCCTTGTTAATGCAAATCCTGCTCTGTGTCTGTATTTCCTGGCTGGTGTTGGAAGTGGAATTCAGTGGAATAAATGCAGAGTTCAGAAATCCTTTTCACCTTCAGAGCTTTGGTTGCTGTGGCAATCTGGGTGTGTGTAACCTGTGGGCACCCTCATTTTATGAAGAAAAATGTTCCATGAGGAAGCAACCCGAGGTTTGATTAGAGAGTAACAAAGAACATCTCTGGATTGGCATGCAGGACAGGGCTGCATGAACAGGTCTGTGTTTCGTCACAACCCAAATCAAGCCTAGGAATTGAAAATTCATTAACATGACCTGAACCATTCCAATCCAGGCTCATGAAAATGTATTTTGTTCAGGCTGAGGTTTAGGTGTGCCCAAAGCAGCTTGTTACCTTTAGAGAGAAGTGTACATGTTTTACAGCAGCAGATTTATTTCATTTCTCAACAGTTATACAAATATTAGTGCTCAGATTATTTTTCTTTATAATTCCCATCCCCCTCAAGACACACTCTGTCTGTTAGGAAAAAACCCACAAATATTCAGAATTATTAGAGTTTTTAGCCTTTAGATCCACACCAAACACTGAGCCAGGAATCCTGTACAAAATGTCCTGATTTCACACAGCCACACTTGGATTTTTTACTTTTCCAGTCTAAAGTTTTGGCCTCAAATCATAAGATTGGATCCCAGCCCAGGACTAACACCTGAAAATAATTTAGACCTGTTAACATCTCTGTTCTTACCTAGGAGAAATGAGGTTTTTTCATGTGAGGGGAGGGATGAGAAGGGCTGGAAGCTTGCAGGGGAGCTCCAGTTGCAGGAGGCAGGAAAACCTCTGGGCAGGGCTGCCGGGGGCTGGCTCAGCCCCTCTGGGACTGCAATTCCCAAACCTCGGACTGGGAAGTGATGGAGGAGTTAATTGGGAGCCATTGATTGGTTTCCATCACAGGGCTGCTGTTATGGATGATCTAAATAGACCAATTTGATCAAATTCAATTAACAAAACTCAAATTATAAAGAAATATGTTGAGCAAGCACTCTACCAGTCCCTAAGGCACATTTTGTCCAGGATTCTCCAGAACAACATGTCCAGCTATGTTCTGAGTGTCCTAAAGACTTTTCTACCTAGTACAACCAAATTAATTCCATAATCAACAGCAGAACATAATGCTCAGAACAAAATTTAAAAATTATTTTATGACAAGCTGCAGATTAGTTGCCCACTATCTTCTAGATATAGAAGAGAATTAAATCCTTTCAATTGAACGTGTAGAATGCATGGGGTTTTTTTGTTTATTTTTCTAATTATTAGTGCCCACCAACAGCAGTGTGGGCATTAATTACCTTCATTGACTGTCTTCTAACGAGAGTCCTGCACTAAATCCCCTGGGTTCCTGCTGTTGGGTGATTCCCCTGGACCCCAGAATTTGGGATATTTTGCCCTCTGGAGGTGACAGGAGATGGGGGAATGAACGAGGGCATCACCCTTAGTGGGGAGGGGCAGCTGTGCCAGGGCAGCTCTGCCCTGGGGGTTTCCTGCCCTTCCCACTGCCCATCCCTCCTGTGCCCTCAGCCTCTGGCTGCAGGAGAAACCAGGGATGGGGAGAACCAGGATTGGGAATAACCCAGAACTGAGAAAAACTCAGGAATTCAGGATAACCCGGAGCTGAGGAACACCCAGGGCTGGGGATAATACAGGGCTGGGGATAAACCAGGGTTAGGAAAACTGAGAAAAACTCAGGATTCGAACTGAGAAAAACTCTGGAATTCAGGATAACCCAGAGCTGAGGAACACCCAGGGCTGGGGATAACCCAGAATTGAGAAAAACTCGGGATTTCATGTCAACCCAGGGCTGGGGACAAATCAGAGCTCAGGATAACCCAGGGCTGGGGATAACCCAGGATTTCAGGATAACCCAGAGCTAGGGAGAAACCAGGGTTAGGAATACCCAGAGCTGAGGAAAACTCAGGAATTCAGGATAACCCAGAGCTGATGAACACCCAGGGCTGGGGATAAATCAGGGTTAGGAAAACCCAGAGCTGGATTTCAGGATAACTCAAAGCTGAGGAACACCCAGAGCTGAGGATAACCCAGGGCTGTGTATAACCTAGAACTGAGGAAAATTCAGGATTTCAGGATAACCCAGGGCTGAGAAACACCCAGGGCTGGGGATAAAACAGGGTTGGGAATAACCCAGAACTGAGGAAAACTCGGGATTTCAGGATAAGGCAGGGCTGGGGATAACCCAGAACTGAGGAAAACTCAGGATTTCAGGATAACCCAGGGCTGAGGATAACCCAGGGCTGGGGATAACGCAGAGCTCACGATGACTCAGGGCAGGGGATGACCTGGGGCTGGGGATAACCCAGGATTTCAGGAAAACCCAGGATTCTAGGAAAACCCAGGATTCTGGGATAACCCAGGATTTCAGGATAACCCAGGATTCTGTGATAACCCAGGGCTGCAGGATCCCCTGTGCCTGGCTGTGCTGGATTTCCTCCTGCCCTTGCTGCCTGCCCACCCAGCCCATGTTTCCAGGGAGGCAGCACAGACAGACAGCTGTCAGTCTGTCCATCCCTGCAGCACAGACAGACAGCTGTCAGTCTGCCCATCCTGGTGCTGCTCACAGCACTGCTCTGGTGCTCTGGGAGCTGGTTCAGGAGCACTGAACTCTGCTGCAGGGGGATTGTCCCCACAGATTTTGGGAGGGTTTTTCACTGCCATGGACATGCCACAGCCACCTCATTGTCCCTCCAGCTGTCAGGCAGCCTGAGTCCACTCAGGGTCTCCTCTTTGGGCTGCCTGCTCCGTGCTTTAGCCTCTCCCAATGCACAGAGTACCATTTTTTATCCATATCAATCTGATTTTCTCTTCATTGTGGCAAATGAATCTTATTTGAGAATCGTAGCAGGCAGGAGTTTCCACTCCCATTGTGATAATTCACTTGTGGGGAATTTTGGAAGGAATTTGAGATGGGTCCTCTGAATTGTTTCGATGACTTGGTTTATTTTTCTTATCTTCTACATAGGTAGGAAGGGTGAGTTTGGCTCACAGTGTTACAAGAGGTCACAAGGGGTCACAAGAGGTTACAAGAGGTCACAAGACCCTTAATGACAAGACTTTTAAAGGAGTTATTGTTATATATATTTTATATAATTAATATCTATATGTTATTATATATTATATATATATTATATAATTATTTATATTATTATAACTTTAATGAGTTATTAATATATATATTAAATATGTATATATAAACATTACTAACAAGGATCTTAATGTTTTTGACCTAATCTTCAAGTATTTCATTTTGCAGACTCCTGCTACAGTGTGAGCTTTCTTAGCCAATCATGTTATGACACACAAACCTACAGTGCTGCATTCTAAACTCTTTGTTTACTTCTGCAACTATTTTTATTTTTTCTATATTTTGAACTCTAAAACTCTAAACTTTCTTTTACTTAGCTTAACGTGTCTCTGCTTTAAACTATAAATCTACATTCTTGTTTCTAGCACTCAAGTTCGGGAGCCTTTTCCAAGGTCTCAGATCAAATCTTGTGTTTAATTCTAAGTTTTGGCTTATAGGCCCAAGGTTCTGAGGTTTCTTTGCAATTGAGTTTCCAACAACCCAGAATTTATCTGTGTTCTACTCAATGCTTCGACTCTGTTCTTTCCTCCCTGGTTCTCCTTTGACGTTGCAATTACCTCTAAAATCTACTTTTATTTTCCCTGATGTAGTCGCACTACACATCCTGTACCTCGCCTGTAGAATCATATTGAAAATTCAGAATAGCATTTCACAAAATAGGCGAGCTTTTATGGATTTTAAATTCCAGAGCCTCTGTATGAGCTACAGCCTGCTTCAAACAGGAGGGAATTTAGAGCTGCAAAAAATCCTTACACTTGATAGGCACAGCAATTTGGGTAATTGTTTTATAAGGTGGCAAAGTGTCACTTGATTTTTGAGGCAGAAGTTTTCCAAAAAGTTGTTGGAAGGATGAATTAAACACTGACACGCCAGAATCAAAACAGAATTTGTTTCTGCAGAGTTTTTGTCTTCAGAGTTTCTTCCAGGGATCTGTGGGAGCTGCTCTCATTGATTCACTGCAATTACACTCTGTGTTTTCCTTCCTAATGACAATTTCTGTTTTCATGCTGTGCAGGTTTGAATCCAGCAGACTTCCTGCCATCAGATCACTCTGTGTTCATTTAGATCACTGAGATTTTTATCAGAGACAAAAATTAGAGATTTTTAACAGCAGGCTTTCTGCTATCAGATCACTCTGTGTTCATTTAGATCACTGGGATTTTTAGCAGAGATAAAAATTAGGGATTTTTAATAGCAGATTTTCTGCCATCAGATCACTCTATGTTTATTTAGATCACTGGGATTTTTAACAGAAATAAAAATCAGGGATTTTTAACAGCAGACTTTCTGCCATCAGATCATTCTGTGTTCATTTAGACCGCTGGGATTTTATCAGAGATAAAAATCAGGTATTTTAACAGCAGACTTTCTGCCATCAGATCACTCTGTGTTCATTTAGATCACTGAGATTTTTTAGCACACACCAGTTGTGGGGACAAAGGTGTTTTAGGGGGATCTCCTGGTGGTCTGGTGGAGCCACCCCATAACCCAGGATCCTCTCCAGCCCTGGCTGATTTCAGGGGGCAGCTCCAGCCTCTCCAGGTGGTGATGGCATCTCAAAGGGAGCTCAGAACTTCCAGTTCTGCACCAATCCCCACTGGTGTCCCTGGGAACTCAGGTGGCCCTGGGACCTGTGTTGCACTTAGCTCACAAACCACTCCAACCTTCAATTTTGGGTCAAGGCCTCACAGATCAGGCACAATTTCCTCTCTCAAGAATAAATTTAAGCTCTACTCCTTTTATCCCCTTGAACTATTATTTCCTCACTGCCCTGGCTAAAAAGATACCACAAATCACCTCAGCCTCCCCCTTGGCTCAGGGGTATTAAATAATTAATAATCCTGGGTTATCCTAGAATCCTGAGTTTTCCTGAAATCCTAGGTTATCCTGAGGTCTGGGTTATCCCCAGCCCTGGGTTATCCTGAGCTCTGGGTTGTACCCAGCCCTGGGTTATCCTGAAATCCCAAGTTTTCCTCAGTTCTGGTTTATCCCCAATCCTGGTTTCTCCCCAGCCCCGGGTGTTCCTCAGCTCTGGATTGTCCTGAAATTCTGAGTTTTTCTCAGTTCTGGTATTACACTTCTCAGGGGTATTAAACCTCACTCCTTGTACAGAAAGTTTTACACCCACTTTTAGCTGCCAAGGGGAAAATGTGGCTCCACATCCCCAAAATTGTGCCTGTGTTTGTTGAGGCCAGCAGCGTGTGGGGTTTTGTGCTGAGGGGCCGGGGCTGGGCTGACCCTGCTGCTGACGGAGCTCCTGCCTGGCTGAGCCCCCACTTGATCTGGAAATTGTGTTTTCTGCAAACCAAACAGAGCAGAGAAAGTACATCTGCTGCTTGTTTATTGGTTTAGGGCTCTTCCTGCCTGGTTCTGGGAAAGAGGAAAAAAAAAAAAAAGGAAAATGAATAAAAGGCCACCTTCATTATTTCACTTTTAATTTCCTTCCTCCAAAGTAAGCAGAGCAAAATTAGATTTAGGCTGATGCATATTCCACAAATAAATTACATGGAACTAGAGTGGTTAAATGAACTTTGCTTGGGGATTATTGGAAAGATAAATATTTAAACACTGAACTTGAGGTAAGTCATGTTTATGCAACATCTGGGGTTTTTTTGTCGCTGCTTCTCCACCCCCTCTTTATTTTTTTTTTCCTGTTGTGGCTTTTCTAGTCAGCTCAACCCCGATGACATGAAAGCAGGGTGAACACCACCTTCAGAAAACTCTGTTGTCTGTATTGTTGCCAGCCAGAGGGGTTTTTTTTTTTTTTTTACTCTTTTTTTGTAGATAATCTTTGCCTGGTTCTATTTTTATAGAAGTCTTTGATTATATTTCACACTATGTCTTGGTTAAAAGAATTCAAAGTAAAGGTTAGAAGAATTCAAATTATATCTCTTGGGGAGAAAAAACCCAGCTTGTATTGAAATTGTTCAAAAATATTTAAATTGCAGTAGAACTAATGAACCATAGAGCACCATAGTGTATGAAGCTGAAATTTGAGGGTTTTATTTTTCATTAATAGACTTAAAATTGCAGGATGACATTCCATTAACCAGACTTAGAAACTCCAGAAAATTTCTGCAGTAGGGGAGGGTAGAAAAATGTGGAAAAATGCAAACACCAATCCAAATGGGATCTGTGCTGGTTAATTCTGTAGCCACCTACTGGATCACTGAATTACCTGCACCACACATTAGCCAG